TTTTAAGTGCAATCAATGCCACAGTCGTTTTTTTTTCTTAAAGAATATGTGCGTACACGTCTCTTGTTACATCTTGCACCCCAATTTGTAGCACTTCAAAATATCTGTGCCGTTAGGCAAACTGCCTCCAAACGTCAGGAAAGGTTGAAGGTGAAATCCAACGCTCTCGGTGTTAATTAAACATAAAAACACATTGCCATAACATAGAATTACAGCATGTTATAGCTGTTCAACCTTCAAGGCTACACTGGGGCTTGGCTGGCACTCTAGAGCCGTCCTGGGGAGTGCTGCATTGTCGGAGGTGCTGTCATACAGAGGAGACGTGAAACTGAGGAACTGTCTACCTGTTCCGGTGGGGGTTAGAGATCCCATTGGCGTTATTTGAATGGAGACAATCTTGTCGAGATGTTGCTGTGTGTACATTGGCTGCCGTGTTCACCTACAAAGTACACAGACACTACGCTTTACAGTAAATCCTACAAAGCGTTTTGAGCAGTCTCGAAGACGTGATAATGCAAGGATTATTATTGTTATTCTATTTTTGGGGGGAGAGGGTGTTGGTTTATCTGGTTTATCCATTGGAAACTTGAATACTTCTGTAAGATCTCCCGAGACCCTTCTGTTCACCAGATCACAGGAGAGGTTTGGATGAAAAAGACCCTTCATCCCATTCGATCTCATCTTTCCAGGACGTCGTGCCCTTCTGTCCGCCAGTCCCAGCGTCAGGCTATTACTTGATGTTGTTGATAGAGTGAACATTCCCAGATCTCTTCGTAACCCAGCAACTGGAGACCTTTATCTTATTGTCTTCTATAACAAGCGTTTGCCAATTTCTGACAATCAACCGTGGCTCGATTTAGCCTCGGCTTTCCCACAACCGCACAACTCAATCCCCGAATTGTCAGTTTGAAAGGGAAGCATTTCCCCCACGATCACACTTTACACAACTTTACAGCAGCAATCAAGCCCGCAATACAAGAACTGTTTCAGAACCTTAAAATCCTCCCCCCTCCCGAGACAAATGTTTCCGAGTGTTTGTGCTTATAAGAGTTTAGCTCACAGCTCCCATGGTAATGTCACCTCTTCCCCGCCCCCTTTTCTTTCCATATAAAAGGAGAGATGAATGAAGAAAAAGGATAAAAAGGGAAGGAGAAGAGAGGTTTTCAAACCACAAAGAGGGAGAGTGAATGTCATTCCGTCAGTGAGAAATCCAATTATCCCGTAGCAATGGATTCTCTTGTGTAACTTACACCAGCCATTGCCAGCAAAACCCACACAAGGCAGCTTCCTCCAGGAGCTGAGAGAACAGAGATTGTCATTCACATCACCCTGCCTTGAGGGAGGGAGGGGAGAGACGGAGGGAGGGAGCGGGTTTGGCATTGAAGAACCCACTCAGTCCTCAGCACGCCTTATTATCCAAGCCGAAGAAAAGCCGTTCCGAGCGTGTGTGTGTAAAAAAAACACATAGGAACAGGAGGAGGCCATTCAGCCCCCTCGAGCCTGTTCAGGCATTCTATAGGATCATGGCTGATGTGTACCTCAACTCCAATTACCGGCCTTTGCCCCATATCCCTTGATCCCCTGACCTAACAAAAACACCTCAAAGACCGTGATCCCACCCGCTCTCAGCCCGTCAAGCCATTTCACCTTACAATTTAGGTCACACTGTCACTAATTGTGGAATTTTCTTATCTAAAGCGAGAATAATAGTAATTCAGTCTCAATTTGGATGACAGTTATTTTTAAAACCGCGGTTTGCGAGGCGTGGCTGTCTGTGCATTGGCTGCCGCGATCGCCTGCAAAGTACACAGTCACTACGCTTTATGGTAAATCCTGTCAAACCATTCGAGGCCATCTCGAAGACGAGATAAAGTGCTATTATCCGTGGTTCTGCGTGAACTTAAAGACAAGTGCGAATGTGCATCGCACATGAAGTAACATCAGCCCAGGCACAGGAGGAACTGACTGCCAGACATTTTTAATGCACCTTGTCAGAATGTGGGCTTTGAGTTTAAAGAACCAAACCATCGCGTTATAACGGGGACCACTTTTTAGTGTGTGTGTGTGAGAGAGTGTGTGTACTTGTGTGTGTGTCTGTGAGAGTGTGTGTGCGTGCGAGAAAGAGTGTGTGCGTATATATATATATATATATACACACACACAAAGGCTACACAAATACAAGTTGCTGGTGTCAAGTGCTAACTCATTACAATGCTTTGGGGCAGCAGAAACGACAAGGATTTAGGAACTGAATGGAATTCTCGGCACTTCGGGGGAAGAGTGGATAATTAATCCGTGAATGAGCTGCTGACCGTAGTCTTTACCTGCGGTATGTATCAACTGGGTGCCCGCAATGCAATGCTTGGTGGCAGCCACTTAACTGCAGTGAAGTCAGCATGCAGTTGCGATCATTCATCACCAACCCCCCCCCACCCCCCCCACCTCCCCATCGCAGGCTACAATGGATGGCCAAAAGCAATAAGGTATATACCCAGGCAACTGGGAAGAAAACTGTTGTGGGGAGGTGGGGGCAATGATTCAACGTTCTGGGTCCTTGCTGATGAGAGCCCCCTTTCTGTCTAATGTGCCAAACTATATCCTTATTACTGTATCCCGAGATATTAATTCCTTATTCTGAAGTGTAGTGCCTGTATTTTGTGGGCGAAACGCGGTAGCCAATTGTGCACAGCAGCGTCCCCACAAACAACCATGGAGAGAGTGAGTGACCAAATTTATTTTCTTTGTGAGGGGGGATAGATTATTATCCCCGGAAAACGATCCACTAATCCACTGACAGTTGAGTTCCCCACCTCTCCCCCCCCCCCCCCCCCCCACACACACACACAATCTTACAGTATTGTGGAGTCCCGCAGCAGAGTGGTTCGTGCGCTCGTCTCGCAAGCGAGAGGACCCATTTTCGATTCCCAGGCGGGGTGAAACCTTAGGCAGACCTACGTGAAGTAGTAATGGAACGGTAACCACATGGTGACAATATAAATAGGAAGTGACCGTATCAAATCATGTCAAATATCCTTTATTTATTCGAGTTTCATTGCACTTTATGAAAAGGAACCCTGTGGGTAGCACTTTGACATATAGCGCTGTGCAGAACTAAATGAAAGTTAGTGTCTCTGCCGCAGACCCCATATAACACAGACACATTGTCTCTTCAATGTGCTGATTGACCCATTATTAAACCATCGGCTCATGCATTATATTAATGGCAGCTGCAATATCTGTTTGGATAAACACACTCGAAATGCAATAAGATTAATAGCTGTTGCTGAACGGGAGGGTGGGGGGAGGCAAGTCTTTGTGGCTCACACATTTATATATTGCCTGCGTCTTGTCTCCTCCACCAGTTCTAACATTGCAGTTTTTCATTGCAGTCTTTTACAGCTACTGGCTTGAAATTCCACCCAGACTCAGCTGGTAAATCCACTTTGCCTTCGAACTTTCATAATGTGTTACCGTCTTTTTGTGGGACGCTGCTGTGCACAATTGGCTTCCACGTTTCACCCACAAAATACACAGTCGGTCCGTTTATTAATATATTCTGTGAAGCGCTTTGAGATGTCTCGATGGAGTGATAAATGCAAGGATTATGATTATAATTATCTTAAATCCAGACTGAATTTAGAAGCACCCCAGAAAACCTGCTTCCCAAATTAAGACTGGATTTAAGAATTGTTCACAGTTCTGTGACTTCTGATAACTGGATTTAAGATAATTGGAGTTGAGGTGCAGATCAGCCATGATCTTATAGAATGGCGGAACAGGCTCGAGGGGCTGAATGGCCTCCTCCTGTTCATATGTTCTGAAACGTTGAAGACAAAATGGTGTCAGAGGCTAAGATCAGGAGGAGCTTTATGTGTCAGAGAGTGAGAACTGCTTGGAAAGTGTAAGTGTGGAGACAAAGGAAAAACGATGTGTTGTTATTCTAATGGGGGAAAAACAGGCAAAGGAGAATACAAGGGTAAGAATTAACATGCAAGATGTTGCAGCAGTTTAAAAAGCCTGTTTGAAAAATGGCCGGACAAGCCAGAAGGAGAACATTACTGTCTCAGTTTATGGATATAAATAAAAGTAAAATACCTTCACTGTCATTTGAGCTAATTATGAATGTGCCACAGTGAGCGTATAGCTAACTGTCCTTAATTTGCCTATCTCGGGAAAACATAGGTATTGAGCTGTTTACATGATGGATTGGTGAATGGCCATTTGTTACTGAGATGTTTCACTGAATAGGCTTTTCACTCACTGAAGGCAGTGAATCCGCAGAGCCAAAAGGACCAAGAGAATGAATAAGCAGCTTGTGAATATGGCACAGCTTTGACACATGGTCTATTTGGACTTGCCTTTGGGGAGACTACCATCAGTAATGAGACTGGATCCACTTGTTGGGAGATAAATTAAGAGTTGGGAACATGGACTGAATGATTGAATTCTACTGCTGGCAAATGGAAAGCGCGTGTTCACCCAATAATAATAATAATCCTTGCATTTGATATAGCACCTTATCACATCTTCAAGACGTCTCGAAGCGCCTCAGAGAATATACTGTAAAGTGAATTAACTGTATATTTTGTGGGCGAAATGCGGCAGCCAATTGCGCACAGCAGTGACCTCACAAACAGTCGTGGATTGAGTGACCAAACTTTTTTTTAAATATAATTTTTCGAAGGGAGATTTAGGTTCAGAAAAGCGATCTGCCACTCGACTAACAAGTGGGTTCCTACTTACTGCTTGGTAAGCAGGGGCGTGTGGAGTAAGGAAACTTCACACTTTAAGCCAACACAATCTCGCAAGTTAAGGTGGAATTTCTGGTCTTGCAGTCTGTGTAATTTGCAGACACCGGCCCTTTCAACCCATAGCATTGCTTTACAAGATAGTTAACGTCAAATATTGAACCGATTCTATGAATCGCTGTCTGGTGAATTAATGCCTGGTGTCATTTGTTATTTTGAGTTATGTGTTTAATGATCTCATTTTCTGTTGTGCCAGGGAGACAGAAGGCAGCGAACCTTCTAGGATGCGAGTTTGATTAATTCGCCATTAAAAGAAGATTTAGGGAAAGGAGTTAGGTAGCTGGGTAAGAAAAACAAAGCTAATTACTTCTCCATTCGCGCCATATGTGAAGTGCGTGCGATGGGAGAGCAGGTATCCCGTCAGGACCAGCTGGCAATGTTAGTCAAAACAATCTGCTCGCCTGATCATAGTGGCTTTAGTGAATAGAACGAAGCCATCATTCTCTGAGAATCCATCTGCCACGAAGGAAAACAATAAGCCTTCATCATCCTCTCCTCTGACATCCTCATTTGAGAAAACATTTCTGCTTCATGACAATAACGGAAGAAAGCACAACCCCTAAACCCGTGGAGTCCTGTCGCTCAGTGGTTAGAGAGCTCGCCTCGCAGACGAGAGGACCCGGGTTCAATTCCCGGCCGGAGCGAAACATTAGACAAGTTTCCTTATTCCATGCGCCTCTGTTTATCTAGCAGTAAGTAGGAACCCGGTTGTTAGTTGATTGGCGGATCACTTTCTGGGGCATTGAGATTTCCAGGCATCCCACCCACACATGGAAGACCCTGAGATAGATTATTGGAATGGAATGCGCTCTCTCTCTCTCTCTCTCTCTCTCTCTCCCTGGAGGGACACATCATGCTTGCCTTATCCTAGAAAGTAATAGGCGCAGGTTGGCAAGAGCCAAGGCTTGGGGGGAGCCCAGAGTGTGGTTTGGGGAAACCGCTGGAGTCTAACCAGCTAAAACCGCATAGCTTGCCAACAATAGCGCTGTCTGGCAAGCTAGGCTGTTAGAGGGAGAGTGAGAGAGCCATATACACACACACACACACACAGAGTAACAGCCCACTGAAAGAAGATAGTTAGCTCAAAATATCCTGTATCTCTGTGTAGTATTCAGGATTAGCTGTAAGTCAGACAGATAGTCAGTCCCACCAGAGGGGACTTTACTCCCCAGGGCCTCAAACCTGCGTTTCCACCAACCGCAGAGATAAAATGTGACATTTTTTAGAGAAGAGGGTTGCTATTTTTATGTTCGTAACAAGAGATTCCGTGTAAGGATTATGGCCAAGGAACATCAGAAATATGGCTGTTGTCATTAGCGCAGAGAATGGAAATCAATAAGGGCCTACATTTTCTGATTGCATGTCAGAAAGCCTTTGAGCACCAGAAGCTGCTCAGCACATGAAAAGCCTGGGATCTGATTTACACTCACCAGCCCCCGTCACGTCAGCCTTCTATGGGTTTGCAAAGGCAATCTATCGCCATCACCAGGGCTCACCCTGACCCTGAGTGCAGAGCTGTCAATGCCCTGGTTAAAAATAACCAATATATCCTAACTCAGTCATTCTCTGTATTGTTACTGAGGCCCTATTTACTCTCCTTAAAAACAAAAAACAGCCCCAACTCTGAAATGCAATTACCTTATCACAAGTCCCTCAAAATGCAATATGAGCTCCACAAACCTTGCCCTCGCTCCCTGCAACTCTCTCGCTAAATTCTGCTCAGCTTTCAAAGCCAGTCTGACAAATACCTCTGACAGCTCCCTCCTATCTTCCGGCCTCCCGTCCCTGGGAATGTGTCGGGGGGAAATGCACTAGAGCTCTTATTTTTATTTGGTTTCATCGTTTGGAATGAGATGTTAAACCCGGGGTCCAGTCTGCCTGTTCAGATGGATGGTAAAGATCCTGCGGCGCTGTTCGAAGAGAGAATTGAGTTTCTCTCTCTCCCAGTGTCCTGGCCAACAATCCCTACAAATAGAGTTAGTCATTCCCTCTACGGGTGTCTGTGGGACACTGCTGTGCGCAATTGGCAGCCGCGTTTGCCTTCAAAAATACAATCAATCCGCTTTACAATACAAGCTGTGGGGTACTTTGAGACGTCCTTCCAATGTGATAAGGCGCTATATTAAATGCAAGGATTATTATTATTATCTCATTGCTGGCATTCACTGCTCTGTGTTCCGACTCTCTCGAAATCGCTGATCCTTCACCTCGTTAAACCCACGCACGGTAAAATACTCCTGAGCTCAGAGTGTTTGAATCGCTCACACATTCTTCCTGTGTGGCTTTGAACCAAGTCATTTAGAATGAACGCCTCCAGCGTTTTAACATGTACAAAAAAAAGCACCCGAGTGAGATAGCAACAAAGATCAGTCAGTTCAAGATGGTTCTCGTTATAGAATTCAGGATTCAAAAATATGACAGGGAGCACTGCGAAGGGAGAAGATTTAAGGAGGCGACAGTTGAACAGACGACTTTTTTTAAATTTAAGTCCCGGAGAGAGAAAGCGAGCGCAAGTTGGATTTGGGTTGCGTCTGCCCATTCGATTTCATTCTTCCAGAACAAACATCCATCCAGTATAGCGTCAAGCTGCTCAATAATCCTCCTTGTATTTGATGTAGCGCCTTATCACGTCATTGAGACGTCTCGAAGCACTTGACAGAACACACCACAGTGATTTGACTTATTTTATTTTGAATTTGACTGTATCATATTCTACGGAATATAACATCTTAAATAAGTCCCGATGTCCCGGCCTCAGCCACGCTTTCTAGTAATCGGTTTCCAGCCGTCGATCACCGGCCTATGTGACAGTGTAATGAAAGGACCGGGCCTGCTCTACACCGCTCAGTCCAGGTCTGAGTGTCCTCTGCACCCACATCCCCAACAGAGAGTGAGAGAGGAGAGAGACGACACGTTCGAGAGCGCGTGGGTTGAATTGGAGCCCGTGTGACTGCAGTGAAAGAGCGGCAACTCTTAACCCACTGAATCATTGCGCTCCCGTCAGGCTAAGTGGTCAGTCACCGTTCCCTTCTTGTCTGGTTTGGGTGTGAACTTCACGTCCCAGGAGGTAAAGGCCGGCGGTTCCAACAAATTGCGTGACCCGGCTTTCCAAAATTACAGCCATCTCGTCTGACCTTCTGCTGCGTATTTAACACACGCTGTGGCAAAGGCCTCACCGCCACTGATTAAAAAAAAGCCAGCGGTGACCTCGATGACCGCTGTCGACTTTCCGAGGAATGCTTTCAGCTTGTCACCAGGCCGTAAATAATTAACGTTGGATTGGCTTTTATCTCCGCGGCACATTTTATTCTGAATAAAACTTATCTGTTTGATCACAAAGCTGCACGGAGGCCCGAGAGAGAGCCCCCTTTCCCCCCTCCATCGTCTACAGTCACATTCTCCATACACCACGCACAACTGCCGAAGCACAGCAGCCCGGGGCCTCAAAGAGAAACGGTTTGTTGTTAAACTGGTGGGAGTCCTCTAAGTGTAATGGTTAGAGCGCTCGCCTCGCAAGCGAGAGGACCTGGGTTCGATTCCCAGGCTGTGTGAAACCTCAGCCAAGTAACACTGTTTACCTAACAGTAAGTAGGAACCCGGTTGTTAGTCGATTGGCGGATCGCTTTCCAGCTGTAATAATCCCTTAAAAAAAATGATGATTGAGTCACTCAATCCACGACTGATGGCGGGACGCCGCTGTGCGCAAATTGGCCTCAGCGTTTCGCCCAAAAAATACACATCAATCCACTTTAGAAACGTCCCAAAAATGTGATAAGGCGCTGTATCAAATGCAAGGATTATTATTGTTCTAACAGGGTTTTGAAAGCGGGAGAAAGAGAAGGCGCAAATCAAAACGATTTTGAAAAGCAATGGCTTTGGGCTGGATGGCTAAATGTGCTCTCCTGTGCTGTGGTTTCAATGAATTATTGGTGCTTTATTCAGCCGTTTCCTCGTGCTCCTCCAAAGAGAGTTATTACTCAACTTGCTTTTGTGTTGGTCTTAACTCAAGCAACAGGTCACATACCTTGGTAATAGCTTTGAGACTGTTTTTTGTGGGGGGGGGGGGACATGAACAGCACTATATAATGACAAGGTGCTAGAGGCGTTGATGGATAAGGAGAGATGATCGAATCCTGTCAGGAACTCCCAGGGAAATGTTATCCCCGGATTCAGCTGGCCAGAGTTAGATATTTTCTCTTTAGATTACTCTCTTCGGCTTCTGTAGAAAATTTAATCATAACCATCAGGAATAATAATACGTGATATCCCTACCTAATATTCCCCTCGTCACCCAGATTTCGCTCACAAAATACACACACTCCACTTTACAGTATATCCTGTGAAGCACTTTGAGACGTCTCGAAAACCTGATAAGGTGCTGTATCAAATCCAAGGATTATTATTATTAATCCCCAATTCAAATCCATTTGAAACTCATCTCATCGTTGTTTACGGCACAGATTGCCTGCCGCCTTTACCCTACAACCACAACATTCACTTCCATTTCCATTCGATTCTTTTCAGTGGAACGCTGTGAGATGTTCAATGTCACGTGGAAGGCTCTATACGGACGCTAAGTTATTATTATTTTATTAATATCATTGCGTTTCAGAAAGTTTCATCTTCTGTGAAATGCCACCTGTGGTTTATAATCTCTCTCAGCACATTGAATAAGCAAAGCAGAGTCCAAGTTGCCATTGCTGTGCATGAACTCGACGACATGATAAGGCACTGTATCAAATGCAAGGATTATTATTATTTTTATAGATGGATTGAAAGGTAGAGAGACAGAGAAACAGAGAGAGACGGACGGCTGAGATAGGACTTTCACGCGGAGCCAAAACAGTGAGCACCAGCTCGTCACGTAAGCTTGGGGAGGGGATTCCATTTATTCCGAAAGAGCTGAGGTTACCCTATTCTCCGCTCCTGAGGTCAAACGCACGGAGATTTAAAAAGAGAAAGGCATTTGCATAAAGCAATCAGGTCGTCGAATCCCTCAAGGAGAGGCTGTCCCGGAGCATTGCTCCCACTAATGGAAATATCAGGAAATAACAGCTTTGTAATAAGGAGGCGCTTCACAGGGCAGCTGTGATTCCAAGCAGCCAGGCACGGCAGGAGGCAATTTACTGGGGCAATTAAGCCGGGCTCCTTCGGAATCAGAACACGTTGCCTTGAGAGAGGCGTTGAATAAGAACAGATTCCATTTACCGCATCTCATCCCTTTTCAACTCAACTCTCACGTGGCGAAGGCAGCCAGTTCTGGGTTTGCGCGCTGAGGTCTGATCTCAAGGCATTTCCCCCCAACACTGGACTGTCAGCCACGACGATGAGCTCAAGTCCTGACCGGGGGCTTGAGTTTGCCCAGAACTCTCTGCCAAACTTCCTTTGCCTTATTCCTGCTCTCCCTGCCTTCAGAAGCTTCTTGAAACGTTTCTCTTTGACCCTTGCCACTGGGTCGACGCTCTTGAAAATTTCCTTCATCTCCTCGCTGCTCATTGCTCCCCACAGTCTTTCCTCCCTTCTCAGTGTCTCTCCCCCTCCCCTCACCCTCTCTCTGTGAAGTACACGTCGAGATATTTACCCGGTGTAAAAGTGCAAATTGTTGTTGTCACGTGGGTCGAAGAGCCAACAACAACAACAACAAGATTCCATTTATAAAGCCAGTACAAGATGAGCCGATTGGCCTTCTTCTGGTGCTGTAAATATCAAGGGAAGATAGGGGATGACACACTTCTCACCGTATCCAGAAACTAGTATTTTTTCAATACAATTTAAAGCAGGAAATAGAGATAAAATTACCCAATTACCTCAATTTTTTATTCCTATTCTAACCTACGCAGAATGAACACTGATGTTGCAAGGGCCTCAATGACTGAATGTTAATGGTTGTATTCAGACAGATCTATGAATCCAGGCAGATGTGTGAGAATGTTAAAGCAAGTTCTCTCATCCTACTGACAAACTTCCTGTAATTAATGGACCGCTCTGATGATCATAAACCCAGCAAGGCCCATCTTACATTTTATTGCCTAATTATGTTCCTCCGTGCTGTTGATTAAAGTGCTCTATTGGGGCGATCGCACGATCCTGTGACAACTCCACAATCTGAGCAGACTGTTGTCAGGGACAAATCCTGCATTAGCCATGTCCTGAGAGGCAATTAGAAGAACGAAGAAAGCAAAATGCACTTATTCAATCAAGGCAAACTAGAACTTGTATTTGCATAGTGTGCCTGATCCTGTCAGACTCTCAAATCACTGTATTGGGAATTGTTGTCGAGTGTAGTGACTGTTTTTGCAAGCAAACAAATGGCACATTACACAACAACAAATTACATTTGCATAGCGCCTTTCACGTCAGGAGGACGTCCCGATATCCAACCTACAGTCATGAAGTGATTGACCAATTTAGGAACCCAAGGACAGTTGGGGGGTGACAATTGGAAAAACTCTCTTCTCCTTTCAAAATGAGTCATGGATCTTAAACATTCTCCTGAAGATCAAGCAGATATGAGCTGGGTTTGAGGTCTGATCGGAAGGATGTGGTTGTTATGGTCAGGAAGGCACTGACTGAAAGCAGATTTGACAGTAGCTTTCAAAAGGGAATTGGATAGGTATTTAAAAAGGAAAAATGTGCAGGGCGATGGGGTAAGAGATAGGGAGTGTGGGACTAGTCGGTAGCTCTTTCAAAGAGCGGTCACAGGCACGATGGGGCGAATGGCCTCCTTCGGTGCTGTAAGTTTCTATCCCCCCCACCCCAACACTGCACCGCGCTGTCAGCCTGGACTATGACCTCAAGACCTGACAGGGAGCTTGAAACTATAGCCCTCTGACTCTGTACCCAATTTCAATCGGGACCCTCAAAGAGAGAGAGAGAGAGAAAAAGCTTTCATCCAACTGCATTTAATTGGATGCTAAGGACAAGTGTGTAAAGACAGCGACCACAGAGCCCTCTGCGTGATTTTTTTTAATAACAACAGTAATAATAATCCTTGCATTTGATATCACGTCATCGAGTCATCTCAGAGCGCTTTTATAGAATATACTGTAAGTGAATTGACTGTATATTTTACGGATAACATAATGCAGCTCCCGTTGGCACGACTTAATTGGGAATTTTTTTCACCGCGTGTGTGTTGCACAGAGCCTGAAACATGGATATTTTGTGTATCGATTTGCAGAAACCGCAGCAACATTCCCTCGGTGAGGCGAACGCAGTATTGATCACATCACTAACTGTGCTGATTAATCAATAGTTTCAACTCACCCACATATAAATATAAACGGCTTTTGAATAAAAACAACTTTTTGCAAAAAAAAAGAGAAAAAAAAAAAGAAAAATGGCAGTTCACTAATGCAGAACATTATTCTGTTTCAGGACCAAACCCCAGAAGGCAGAGTATCAATCAATCAATCAATCAATCAATCACTTAAATGCAATCCCCTGCTCTCTTTGGAAGTCGAATTATGTGAAAGACACTCTCAGGAGGAAATCTGGCACTAATGGAACAGCATGGGCCTCTGCCTGTGAAGTGTGGTTGATATCTCGGAGCTGGTGCAAAAAAAAACCTTGCCTGTTTTTTTTAATCTTCTTGGGTACAACAAACAGAAAATGCCCTCTTGACATTTAAGAGCTCAGCAAGTTCCAGGCTGTTGATTCAATGACAGCTCATCCCAACGATCGCTAACTGCTCTGCGAAGGAATCTCAATTCTTCAGTCGGTTGCAAATCAGAGAGAAAAAAAAATGCTTCTAAAGGAATATTTGCTTATTAGCTTGGCGGCTGTTTCCTTAACTCAGGCGATACCGTGGAAAGTCAGATGCCCGCATTTGTGTGTGTGTGAGATAAGGCCTTGGTTTACTCCAAGGTCGATGTACAGGGAGGCTCCTACAGTAGACTGCAATGACTTTATGATGTCTCAAATCCCAGACAACCTGCCCGAAGGAACACAAACTTTATTACTGCAGAGGAACAGAGTGGATAAAGTCACGTCGAGAGAGCTAAGTTACCTGGTGAACCTGACTGAGCTAGACCTGTCCCAGAATGCTTTCTCCAGGATCGAAGACTTCACCTTGAAAAACACATCACAGCTCTTGGTGCTCCACTTAGAAGAGAACCAGCTGACTGAGCTATCGGAAGATTGTTTTTCCGGCCTCACCAACCTTCAGGAACTCTACTTAAACCACAACCAGCTGAGCACCATTTCTGCCGGAGCCTTCAGGGGGCTGCAGAACCTCCTTCGACTCCATCTTAACTCCAATCGATTGAGAAACCTTGACAGGCTTTGGTTTGAAGCCGTACCCAGGTTGGAGATCCTGATGGTAGGAGAGAATACAGTGGACGTGATCCAGGACATGAACTTCAGGACTCTGACCAACCTGCGAAGCTTGGTATTGACTGGAATGGGCCTGAGGGAAATCTCAGACTATGCCCTTGAGGGCCTGGAGAACTTAGACAGCATTTCGTTTTACGATAACAAGTTGGTCACGGTGCCTAGGATGGCACTACAGAAAGTCCCCGGTCTCAAGTTTTTGGATCTGAACAAAAATCCCATTCAAAGGATCCAACAGAACGATTTCACTGACATGCTTCAGCTCAAGGAGTTGGGTATCAACAACATGGAGGAACTGATCTCCATCGATAAGTTCGCTTTAGACAATCTCCCAGAACTGACCAAACTGGAGGTGACCAACAACCCCAAGCTTTCGTACATTCACCCCAATGCATTCCGCCTCATTCCTCAAATGGAAACCCTCATGTTGAACAACAATGCGCTGAGTGCCTTATACAAACAGACCATCGAGTCTCTGTCCAAACTCCAGGAGATCAGCATCCACAGCAACCCCATCCGATGCGACTGTGTCATCCGTTGGGTGAACACCAACGAGAACCACATCCGCTTCATCGAGCCGCTGTCCACCTTCTGTGTGGAGCCACCGGAGTTCAAAAGACGGAATCTGAGAGATGTCCCTTTCAGGGAAATGGCCGACCGCTGCCTCCCTCTCATCTCCTCCGGCACGTTTCCCTCGCACCTCGATGTGGGAGTCTCAGAATCAGTCTCTCTTCACTGCCGGGCTTTTGCTGAACCCGATCCGGAGATTTACTGGGTGACTCCATCCGGTAACAAGCTTCTGGCTTACACCGGCACCAGCAAATACAGAGTGCGGCCTGAAGGAACTCTGAGGATCTTAAACGTGACGCTGGGTGAAGCCGGACTCTATACCTGTGTGGCTCACAACCTGGTTGGGGCTGACACCAAAAGTGTTGCCATCAGAGTGAATGGATTCTTTCCAAACGGTAATGAAAACATTGAGTTCTACGCGCAGGAGGTGGGAACGCACCACATCCAGGTCTCATGGACAACCACCTCGAACATCATATCGTCAAATATCACTTGGTCCACCCTGGCAAACAACAACAACAACAATAGTTTGCAATCCGCCTTCTCAGCTCGGCTCCTAGCTGGCATTCACAGATATAACCTGACTCATCTACAGCCCCTAACTGATTACTCCATCTGTCTCCGTGTGTCGAGTGCGAGTCTCCACGCTGAGATATCCTGCATCAATATCAGGACCAAAGCCACCACCTTTCCCACTGTGGCCAGCGAGGCAAGAACACAATTTGTCACGGGCTTGGCTTCCTGCGTGCTGTTGGTGGCAATAAGTATCTTAGCCCTTCACAGTTTCAGGTCCACAAGAAAGACACTCAACACAGAGCATGGCCCTTTGACAATATGCATGCAGAATAAGGATTCATCTCTCTCCCTCCACATTATCTATCCTCCATTCGTCAAGCACTGGGAGCCGGAGAGTAACCCGGACAAAACGATAGCACTGGAAATTCAATCCACCGTTCTGGGCTCTCCTGACGCCAAACACGACGAAGCCAATTGAGGCAACGGTGAAAGAGCTCGGGACAGCAAGAGCCAGCGAGGCGATGGGACCACATTATCATTGTGGGGACTTCAGCCTAAAACCGGTCAAAGGAACATCCAAGCGGTGTGACCACTGAGACAACAGGAAACTGAAACAAGAATTATGGTCCCTAGATTCTTTTTAGACTAAGAAGACCAAGTGTTTTGTAGGACGCTCCCTTCTCTGTCCCAGCTGATGTTAATGTCTTGTTTCTGTGCCGGGTTTCTGGGCTCCATTTAACAGGAAGCGTATATTAAAAAAANCACACAGATCCAAGGGTTCAGAAGTGTGCTCGGTTTCTTATGTAAACGCGTTTGTGGCCGTATTGATGGGAAATGTGCTGTTTCGAAGACTTGGAATTCGACTCGGAGCCTTTACAACAATTTTATACAGGGAAGTATGTGCATATTTTTATAAGTTCAGACTGTAAACATCAGATAAAAGGTTCTGGCCTCCTGTGTTTGATCTATCGCTAAGAAGGAGATTCACAATGTCGTTCCTATTTAAGCCCCTTTAAGTATTTGAGAGAAACTGTAGCAGCTTTCAGACTATGGCATCGTTTTTTCTACCATTGCTACGTTTAACTAATTTTCTGTAGATTTCCTGTATCGCTGATTACTGATTAAAATGCTGGAGGTGGAAAAGCACCCGAGCGGGGACATTTCTTTTGATTATTGCAGTATTTTCCAAATAAACCACCACAACGGGGAAAAAAAATCTGTATACCAAACCAATGGCGATTTTTGGTGATCTGTCTCCCTCTGTGCTGCGCAGGACAACACAGGTAAAGGAGGAAACGGAATTACGAGGGGGTCAACTATAGCCCAGTGGTTAGAGCGCTCGATTCCCGGTTGGGCAGGGCAAAACATTGGGCAAGTTTCCTTACTCCACATACGCGCCTCCATTTACCAAGCAGTAAGTAGGATCCCAGTTGTTAGTCAATTGGCGGATTCTTTTTCCAGGGGTAATAAATAATCCCTTAAAAAAAAAAAAATTTGGTCACTCATTCCATGACTGTTTGTGGACCACTGCTGTGCACAATTGGCTGCTGCACTGTGCTCACAAAATATAGTCAATTCACTTTACAGTATATTCTGTGAAGCGCTTTGAGACGTCTCGAATGCAAGGATTATTATTCTTAAAACTACTCACAGAAATGTGGTCGGTCAACATGAAGCGGATATCACTAGATTCTGGGCAACATTAGGAAGAGTAAGCTCTGGGAGGGTTATGGGGTGGGAGAGAACAGGACAAGGTGCAAGGCAACACGTACGGGTGGATCAGTTACATTTTATGCACTTGCACCCCATGATAATCCAACAGAAATCGATAGCACTTTGCCTTGTTCCTTACAAGTACATTTGACATTGCAGACCACTGGCAAAGAAATCATTGACTCAAATTAAAACCCAGTAAATTAGTCGATACATAGAAATACGCCAGCCAAGAACAGTTATCCCAATTCTCTAGTGGGGTCACGCTAGTTCCCAATTAAACATCTCTACCACGGCCCGCGATTGAAAGGGGTCAAAATTCAGAACAAATCTGCGGAAACACTACTTCAGTGAGCGAGCAGTAAATGTGTGGAACAGGCTCGCTAGAGAGATGGTGGGAGCAGAAAGTCTTGATTTCTATTGGGAAACAATATCTTGGTACACAGTATGTAGTTTGGGACATGACGTGCGACTGCCAGGACAGTGAAAGGTGAACTGGATAGTCCTTGGTCTTTTTCCCAGCAAAAAAAATTTATATGACGCTAGTGTGCCCTTCTGTGCCGTTAATTTCTATGGTACTGTAAAGGCACCCTCTACTAAGGTTGGGTGGCAGAAATCTACATGGTTAAGATGCTGTAGTCTGTGCGATATCTTACCCAGGAATGCTCACCAATGAAAATAAGAGCAAAAAATATAAAGAACTGGAAAGAAAAGAACAATTATAGACAGAAAGCTTGAAAATACAAGTAATGACATTTCTCACACCGTTGACTGTATCAACAGAATAACTGCTGATGAGTAAAGCAGTGTGATATCCTGACCTTTCTAACACCGACACTGGATAATTAGAGGAATGGACTGGTGTGATACGCTGACATTTCTTTCACTGTCTCTCCATATAATTAGGTTCCAGGTCGTAGATTATCGAGTCATTATGAGAACTAGTGTCTGGCTTCATGGGAAAAGGTGAATTTAGCCAAGGGTGGACTTGAATAAAGATTTTTTTTAAAAATGAGTGACATTTAAATTTTCACACCTTGCACAACCTCGCCAACAACCCTTTACATCCCAAACATTAATCTTATTTGGAACTTTTAAAATAGTCTGGAAGAGCAGTACATAATATTAAAATTACAAATTTACTGCCCACATTTGACAGCAGGAGGCATATTTATTCCAACCTACTGGATGTATGAACATAAGATTAATTTATTACCACATTAGTTTGTTTCGGTGTTGTAAAACATAAAAGTCTTGAATAAAAATGATTACCTGAGCCTGGTTGGCATGCTAAAGGTAAATACTTTTACTGTCCATTCAAAGTAATTGCATTTAATGAAGCGCCTTATCATTTCGTTGAGACATCTCAAAGCGCTTCACAGAATACACTGTAAATATATGGCCAATTGTGCACAGCAGTATCTCACAAACAGTTGTGGATTGAGTGACCAAATAATTTTTTTTTAAGGGATTATTACCTCCGGAAAAGCAATAAGTCAATCGACTGACAACAGGATTCCTACTTACTGCTAGATAAATAAGAGACATGTGGAGTAAGGAAACTAGTCTAAGGTTTCAATACACCCGGAAATAGAACCTGGGTCCTCTCGCTTGCGAGGCGCGAGCTCTAACCACTACACTACAGGACTACACATTCATAATGTGCTCTGTACCTCTACACGTGTTGCAATTGTTCTCAAATGAGTTTGTCAGCATCTGGAGATTGTTCATTGGTAAAGGGTAATTCAAAAGAATTGAGGTTCACAGCAGAGCGGAGAGGATGATTCTGGAGTCAGCTGGACACGTTATGGGGAGCAGCTGCAAAAGCTGAACACATTCACATTAGGAGAAAAAAAATGGGAACACCATTCAGCTTTTAACAAATGATGAGATGTAAACAGGATCTTAGAGGCAGGAGCAGACAGCATGTGGCAAGTACAAAACCAGACAGCATTAAAACTTGAAAGCCTCAAGAAGACTAGAAACGAGGAGATTTTTTTTNGCCTCCCCGGTGTAGTGGGTATCTGGAACAGCCTCTGAATGAAAGCACTTCATGCTGCGCTAATTAATAACTTCAAAAATAGAAAGATAAGTATCTACTTAAGAACAATAGCGCAGGATATAAGGTACAGCCTGAATGAGTGGATACCCCAGAGTGAGGGACATAATGATGAGTGCAGCTGGCTCTCCTTGTAATATTTCCACTCGCACAATAAAAACCTACTGATCATTAACACTCCACTTACTTTGCGTACATCTTTAAAGGGAACAGTCCCTCATGTTGTTACTGACAATCCATCATTCAATTTCCATTCAGCGCGTTCTCAAACGCATTTTTCTCTGCCTTCAACTGGTTTCGGTCCCAGTCATCGACAGCGCACGCACAGCACAGGGCTAAAATCCTGGTGAAACCTTGCGTCCGGAGGGAATAAGAGCCAAGTACCAGAGTCCGAAGGGAGAGGGAAACAAAGCAATATTGGATGGAGCCTAAAATGAAGATCTATGACAATTGGATGAGCTAAATGGGCTCAAAGACCATTTCTGTTTCGTTATGTACCGATTAACCTTAAATGGTACTTTGATTCAAACGTGTACAACGACTTGCATTTATGCAGCGCCCTCTCACGCAGGTTAGCGTCCCAGAGCACTTGACAGTGGCGGAGCACGAAACTGAGCTGGGCGGAGGGGTGGGGGGAGATGTCTCTAGGCACGTTCGGTCGAAGAGGAAGATCTGCAGGCATGACCTGAAGATGGGGAAGGAACGGAGCGAGGCGGAGGGGTAGAGGGAGAGAGTTCCAGAGTTTCGGGGCGTAGCGGCTGAAAGCCCGGCCACCGATGGTGGACAAGCAGGTGGCCGGAGCCAGTTGACCGGCGAGGAAGGCATTTGAATCGTACTGTCTGGAGCACCGTTGTCATTTCACACAATGTAAGCAATTTGCTTTGCTCGCACGTGGAACCCAATTAGCTATCCTTTAAGCAAGCTGCGAGTTACATGATGTGGCAGCAATCCGTGTGCAACACTCCGCGCATCCTTTCTGGATGCTGCCTACAGGAAATCGATAAGAGAAGCTCTGCGTGCGACCTCGAGCGACCCTAGAAGTTAATGGTTTTGCAGACATCACCTGGCAACCTCTCAAGAGCTCCGTTACCAAGCAACGCTATTTCCCCACTTCGGCAGATTTGTGTTGAAGGCTTCGAACAACACTGATGGCTTGAAGCCAACAGCGGGTTAACATTTCACAGTTATTCTACCCTTTGGAACGCACTCCGTCAATCCATAGGAGCACAGGATGCGAGGTACCCACTTGCACGTCCCAGTGTACGCGGAGTGTGTACAGCAACATTCACTGCATTGGCCCACAAAACATACCCAATCACTATACTTTACAGTATCTTCTGTGAAACGCTTTGAGACGTCTCAACCATGTCATAAGACGCTATAGCAAATGCAAGGATTATTATTACTATTGCTCTTGTTAATATTATGAAACGCCAGTGGCCACAAAGCAGACTTTAGAGGAGAAAGCGAAGGAGCCTTCGAGAAATATCAATTGAATTAAAATTCACTTATTTCCTATTTTTTTTGTGTGCAGGGCTTAGAGATGTCCCAAACACTTGATAAGGTGTTATATGAAATGCAAGGATTATTCCCCTACTCCCCCTCCCCCACCACCCCATGCACTTAAACACTGAGAAATTGCCAGTTCCACAAATCAAATAACGTAGTTCCTTATTGTTTGATTCAGTGAAAATGTTTGAGCTGAATATTTTTGGTTAATTCCAGGTCCAATTAGCCATTGTGTGTGGAGGTAAATGGTCTGAGGGTTGGCATTGTATTGAGATTAAGCATTGGCCCAAACAGATGGCTGTGATTGAGCCTCAGGGAATGGTTCAAGCATCAATCTTGTTTGCATGATACCCAACCTTACAAGCTGATTGATCACAGTGACACTGAGAACAATGAATTCATATTGAATGATGAGCCTTGCTATTGATACAATGCATGTCGTATCAAAATGGACCACCGCACTTCACTGTCACTTACGGCAAGGGTACAGCGACTGTGTGTTTCTCGGGAAATGTGGCAGTTATTTTGCGCTCATTGAGGTCCCACAAACCACCGCAAAGTCAATGATCAATTCATCTGCAGGATTGTCGGCCAGGACATGTTCAGCTTTATCGTCTACCTGAAGCAGGCAGAGGGAATCTCGGTTGAACATCTCATCTGAAGGACGGCCATCAATAAGACTTAAATCTAGTCACTACACCTAATAGCAATTACCTATGAAGCACTTGAGGTTTTTTTTTGGTCAGTCAGATGGGTGTCTGACACACCCTGAAACCCATCACCGTTGCTTAAGCGTCTCTAAACCAAGCTGAGAATTCCACGCCTCTCACCTACACATGGAAATCCTAGAGATAGATTGTTGGAA